TCATCTTCCTGCTTCTTAACTATCAGCAGCGTTACCAGGAAAATGAGATAATTCTTGCATCCACATCTTCATCAAAATCAAAAATAGGCCAGGCATGGTGACTCACCCCTGTAATCCTAGCTCTTTGGGAAGTTGAGGCAGGCAGATCACTTGAGGTCAGGAGTTCAAGAACAGCCTGGCCAACAAGGTGAAATGCCACCTCTACTAAAAATATAAAAATTAGCTGGGCATGGTGGTAGGCACCTGTAGTCCCAGATACTCTGGAAGCTCAGACAGGAGAATTTCTTGAACCTGGAGGACTGAGGTTGCAGTGAGCTGAGATCGCACCACCGCACTCCTGCCTGGGCAACAGAACAAGACTTCATCTCAAAACAAAACAAAACAACAACAACAAAAATCACAAGAATCAAGAATAGACCAAGACGTGAGATGGGGAGTTTGGAAGTGAAGTGTATTCCTAGATGTTTAATATGCAAAGCATGCCTGTAATTAGACTATTTTTTAAAACTCACTTCACTCATTTATAGTTACTGCCTGACTCTCAAAGGTATTTGAGCTTCATCCTTGGTATCGACCTAATATAAGAAAATGTTTTCCTTGACTCAAAAGGGCCTACTGACACATTAACTAAATGCAATGCGTGCATCTTGTTTGGTGCATGATTCAAAGAAACCAATCCTGGTAAAACAGTTTTGAGACAATCTGTAGCGTAGAAACATTGCCTGAGGTTTAGATGGTATTAAGACATTATTGTTGAATTTTTAGTGTGACAATGGCATTTTTGTTACGTTTTAAAAATATTCATGTGTTAAAAAGATATGCAGTGAAATATTTACAGGTGAAAAGATGTGACTTATGGGATTTATTCTAAAATATTCTGAAGAATGTGCACTTTTGAAATTATTCCGTAAAAGATGGTTTAAGAAAAGCAGTGTCTACCCCCATGTGTCTAAGTGTCTGGCCCATTATCATGCAAAGCAGCATTTGGTTTCTTTTATCTTTTGTTCTCTTTGTTACTCCGGCTAAAACTACACATCAATGCTCCTGCAATATTGCTAACTTCTTTCCTTATGCTGGAAAACTTCCTTTCAGTAGCATAATTTATTTAAATATATTTAGACTTCCTGATAGTATTTTTATTTAAAATACTTATTTTAAAATTTTATATTTGTATGTTATATGTATTTATATATTTATATGTAATCAATTAAATTATAATTTAACATAAAATTTAAAAGAATATTTATTTTAAAATAAGAATATTAACAGTTCTGGAGGTGTTTTGTCTCCATTGGGCCTTACTGCAAGCCAGACCAGGTTGATGTTGCCACGCTGTTAACAGAGGCCTGGCTGTGTCCTGGGCACACCCTTGAGGGTCCTGCAGGGCCTCTTCCCTCGACACCTTCGCTGCTCCTCACTGATCTCCATAACACAGTCCGAGGATGAGTCAGTGATGTGGTTCACAGCGGGGGAACCTACACCACAGGGGCTACTGAGGAGACACTAGTACTCTGATGATAATCACAGGGACTTGGATTTCCAATACACTCATGTTTTGGTCAGCCTACATTACAGACAAGAGCTTCCTTGAGAAATTCCCTGAAGCTAAAAATAATCCTTCCTAGATCTAAAAATTATAGTTTTCTATTCCCGTGTCTGGCACAATTACCTTCCAAAGGGGCCTATGTGCCCAAGAGCCCCTGTGCGTCAGCTAGCTTGAGTCCCGCATGCCTAAAGAAAGGGAAGCAGTGCACTGAAATGAGTGGTCTCTCACCACACCAGGGAAAGGGAAAGCTAACTCACTTGTCAGGGGAACATGTGGAGTTTTTCCTAACAGTAGGACCATATTATCAACCTCAAAGGTTCTTATTTTATAGTTTACCCAGTTTTTTATTTTTTATTTTTTGAGACAGAGTCTTGCTCTTGTTGCCAGGCTGGAGTGCAATGGTGTGATCTCGGCTCACTGTAGCCTCCACCTCCCAGGTTCAAGCAATTCTCCTGTCTCAGACTCCCAAGTAGCTAGGATTACAGGTGCCTGCCACCACATCCAGCTCATTTTTGTATTTTCAGTAGGGATGGGGTTTTACCATGTTGGTCAGTCTGGTGTCGAACTCATGGCCTCAAGTGATCCGCCTGCCTCGGCCTCTCAAAGTGCTGGGATTACAGGCATGAGCCACTGTGCCCGGCCAATTTTAAGGGTACTGTAAAAGACTCTCAGTCCTTGACTCAGAGATTACAGGACACAACTTGGTCATTTGCATCCTAGGCACAGATTGCCTTCAGGTGAGTGGGAGGAGGTGGCAAGGTAAGGTGTAAATCACTAGACAGAGGTCCCAGACTCATACTTACTAAGCTGTGTGAACTGGGGCAAGTCTGTTAACATCCTTGCTATATTCTCTTTCCTGTACATATGAGTGAGATACTGAATAGAAAAATGGACAACAACCAGACTATGTATAAAAATAGAACTCTGACCCACAATCTGCAGTGACCAACCCAGGAAGCCAACCTACTATCTACAAGTCAGCCTTTGAGGAAATCAGATCACTCTCTCTAGCAAACAATCCAAACTGGACAATCACCCCTATGACAGCTGACCCCAAGTGCTCAAGACTTAATAATTAACTGGCAGCTTCCCTACTTTTTGTCCCTGCTTCCAACTTAGCACCAATCAGAGAAAGTGAAATATGCACCCCTAACCCATCATATGGGATGACCCACTCCTTCTTCGCCACTTACAGCTTCCCCATGGTGACAGCTTCCAATCTGAAGCTGTCCTTCTTTGAATTGCCCAGGCTGGAGTTCAATGGTCCAATCTCTGCTCACTACAACCTCTGCCTGCCGGGTTCAAGCAATTCTTGTGTTGTAGCCTCCCAAGTAGCTGGGATTACAGGCACACGCCACCACAATTAGCTAATTTTTGTGCTTTCATTAGGACAGGGTTTTGCCATGTTGGTTATGCTGGTCTCAAACTCCTGGCCTCAAGTGATCCACCTGCCTCAGCCTCCCAAAGTGTTGGGATTACAGGTGGGAGCTACTGTGCCCGGCCAAGCCTTCCTTTTTCTACTAGAAAGCTTTTCCACCTTTGTCTGCCTTTTAGTCTCTGCCAAAATGCAAGTGACGGTGACTGACTCTCTTGCAAGCTCTAACTAAACAGCCTTTGCTCATTCTCATTTGGGTGGTCTTCATTCATTTCCCCATGAGACAGGGGTAGATTATGACTGATCCACTGTCCTAATGCTTTTGGATTCCATAAGAAGTGGCATTTGGCCAACAAGTATTTACTGTGAATCTAGTTAAATGCCAGTCACTGTGCTAGAGGCTGAAGGTATTCAGTGAGCTTCCAGCCTAGTGAGGGAGACACTGGTACATTAAATAATTACACCAATGAATGTAAAATTGCAGCTGTGATGAGGCACTGCACACTGTGCCTGAGCACCTAAAGCAGTTGGCCTAGTCAGGGAGTCCAGGGAGGATTTCCCTGAGGAAGTGGCACTTACACTGAGATTTGAAGAGTGTTGAGGGTTTACCAGGTGGAAAAGAGGAAAAAGAAGGAAAATCCAGGCCAAGGTCATGGAGTGCACAAGGGTATGGAACAAGGGGAGCCCAGAGGGGGCACATAGAGCATGGGGGACAATAACAGGTGAAGTCTGAGAGAGAGGAAGGGAACAGGCCACATAGGGTCTCATAGAAACCCTTAAGGAATTTTGTCTCTATCCAGACACTAGCAGCAACTTCAACATAATGATACTGCCCTCGCAGGTTCACAAGAATTGCATACTAGGTTCTAGACAGAAACACAGTTATAATTAAGCATTAATTAGGCTGCACCCTGGCCCACTTCCTTGCTGCTGAAAGTCACTCAGCACTAGGTACTGAGCACTGACATCCCCACTGCTCCCATAGACAGGACTTCTAACAGTAGGTCCTAAGACTAAGAATTGACTTGCATCCCCATTGCTCCTGCAGACAGGATCGCTGACACTAGAATCGTGAAGTCTTTGTTTAAGGATTACTTAAGATGTTTCTTGGATCCTAAATTCCTGTGAAACAGCTGACACAAACCAGGTTGAAGACCCCAGTGAGGAATGGGTCTTCATTTCCCTACCCCATGACTTCACCCTGCATCTTCATTTCCCTACCCCATGACTTCACCCTGCACTCTTCAACCAGTCAACAAACTCCACACTTTGGCCCACTCCAAACTCTTAAAAACCCTAGTCCCAAATTCTTCATGGAGCTGTATTTAAGGTTCCTTCCCATTTCCTTAGTAGGTGGCTCTATAATTAAACCTTTTCCTCTGCTGCAAACTGGTGTCTTGGCATATTGACTTGCTGTGTGCATCAGGCAACCTATTATGGTTACAATAATAGCTTGTTATTGAATTATTGAACAGCCCTTACTGGAAACTATGTATCCTGAATATATGAAGAACTCTTTCAACTCAGCAGTAGAAAGACAAAAGTCCAGTTAAAAATAGGGTGAAAGACTTGAATAGACATTTCTCCAAAGAAGCTATACAAATGGTCAGCAAGCACATGAAAACGTGTTTATGTTGTTACTCACTAGAGAAATTCACATTCAAACCACAATGAGATACCACTTCACTACGACAGTGAAATGCCACTAGGATGACTGTAAGTTTTTTTAAAAGGAAAATAACAAATGTTGGCAAGAACGTGGAGAAATGGAACTCTCATACATTGCTGGGAAGAATATACAATGACACAACTACTGTTAAAAACAGTTTGGCAGTTCCTCAAAAAGTTGAACATGAAGTTACCATAGCACCCAGCAATTTGATTCCTACACATATACTCAAAGGAATTGAAAGCATATGTTCACACAAAAATCTGCACATGAATGCTCATGGCCACGTTATTTACAGCAGCCAAAAACATAAACAACCCGAACAACCATTAACTGATGAATGAATAAACGAACTGTGGTACATCCGCACAACAGAATATTATTCAGTTACAAAAAGGAATGTGTCTGACCTGCCCGGACCCTCGTTGCTTGGACCCCAACGCCCGATCGAATTAAATGAGATGAAGTAAGAGTTCAGGCTTTATTAGGGAATCTCCGGGCAGACTAGACTCGTGCACAGGGGAGAGTCAGCAGTCTCGTGCCAGTTTTCTTTGTCTTGCGGTTTTTATAGGGGTAGTGGAGCTGAGGGAGTGGGAGAGCGGAGGTGGCAGGTAGCGGTTGGTCAGTTTAAACTGCCGGGCGGGAAGTTGGGGGAGAGCTGATGGGGCGGGTGGTGATTGGTTGGGTGGTCGCTGGGCGGGAGGTAGCTGGAGTTGCGCCAGTCGGGGTCTGGGAGAGCTGAGCCGGGAAGCCGGGCAGGGCAAGATGGGAACTTCCCATGTAAGCGTAGAGGGACTTTCCACATGGGGAAGTAAAATACCTTCCATGTGGCTGGGCCCTGGGTGGGGCGGGGGGGGGGGTAAGAGAGGCCCAAGGGTCCTCCACCAGACATTCCCAACTCCTTAAAGAGGAAAAAGGGCGGCGGCTGTCTCTCTGGCTACTTCCTGCTGACTTTGGGCGACCAAGGGAAAAGAGATAAGGAGTTAGGTTGGCTGGAGGAGGCTTCACTCGGGCTGGTGGCTTGAGTTGAGGGGCTGGAGTAGCATTTGGTGGATGGTGACTCAAGTTAGTTCTTGTAAACGTCGTTGTAGGAACTGCAGGAAACAAGGAGCAATAAGTAAGATTAGGCAGACAGCTATTAGGGGCCCAAGCAATGGGGATAAGAGGGTATACATGGAGGAAGACCACCATGCCGGGCTTCAGCTGAGAATTTTTGGTTCTGCAAGTTAGTTTTAATTTTCTGGAGGTTTTTGATTCAGGTCTCTACCAGGCCGGATTCATTGATGTAGTAGCAGCACTCCTCTTGTAAAAAGGTACAGGTACCTCCTCGTTCAGCAGTGAGCAGGTCCAGAGCCCTTCGGTTCTGCAAAGCGACTTGGGCAACTGAGGTGATCTGTCATTGGAGAGATGCTAAAGACTCGGCAGAGTCATCAATAGCAGCTTGGAATTGTGAGGTTAGTTGGGCTATGGCCTGGTGAGAGTGGATTAGTGCTCCCCCCCGCCAATCCAGCCACAAGTGCTGCGCTTGCGAGGGAGAGGCCCATGGCTAGAGGTAGAAATGCGGCCCGTCGGGTGCAGTGGAGTGGTGCCTGCAGCATTTGGAATTCGGCTGAGGAGTATACAGTAAGTCAAGGGACTAAGGTTACTGGGAGACATAAGAGGGTTGAGGATTGGCCGGTGTAGAGGGTTTTTGTTACACCAAAAAAAAGTTCCCTGTGGGGCTGTTAGATTAGTGGTTACCAGTATGGTTTTGTTACAGTTGGGGTAGTTTCGGCCTAGGGAATGGCATATTGGCAGCTGCGTAAAATCAGGTGGAGTGTAGAGGTTTACTTCCTTGATGGGGGAGAAGGGAGAAGTTGAGGCTGAAGGGTTGAGAGGGATAGGGTAGGGGACTGTGATGAAGGGAGTCTGTCCTAAGGAGGCACACATGAGGCATGAGGTTAGGTCAGTTAATCCTGAGATGTTAGCTAACTTGATTCCTTCTTTGAGGAAGGTTAGCCAGGAAAACGGAGACGAGTGTGGTTGCAGTTGGGTATTTAGGGATTGTTCTTGTAGGCTAATAGCAGAATGGACTTGGTGTGCCGTACGTACATATGGCGAAGGGGGGGTTGAAAGAAGGAAGGGGCGACCATACAGCAGCTCAAATGGGCTAAGCTGCGATGGGCCCCGAGGGCTTGCTCTTAACCTGGCGAGGGCGATAGGGAGTAAAGTGACCCAGGATTGGCGGAGCTCAAGCATAAGTTTGGTTAGATGTTCTTTGATGAGGTCATTGGCCTGCTCCACCTTACCAGAGGACTGGGGATGGTAAGCGGTATGTAGCTTCCACTGAATTCCTAGAGAGGTAGAAACAGCATTAGTAACTTTGGAGGTGAAAGCTGGGCCGTTGTCCGACTGTATGGTGGCTGGGAGTCCAAAGCGTGGTATGATGTCTTGAATGAGATGAGTGGCTACTGTTCCCGCAGACTCAGAGGCTGTGGGGTAAGCTTCGATCCAGCCTGAAAAAGTGTCAACAATGGTTAGCAGATATCGGTATTGCTTGTGCTTTGGCATGTGGGTAAAATCGATTTGCCAGTCCTGGCCAGGTAGGAACCGGCATAGTTGATGAAGCTGGCGCCGAGGATGACAGGAACCCTGGGAGTTAGTTCTTGCGCAGACAGTACAGGAGGACTGGACTTCCTGTATGGTACTGAGGAGGTGGTGGGGGTGAAAAAGTGGGCTGAGGAACTGGTATAGAGCTTTAGGTCCGATGTGGAGGGAGTTGTGAATGTCTCGGATTATTTGGTACCTTTGTTTTTCGGGGAGGATAAGGAGGTTATGCTTGAAGGCCCAGTCGTCTTTGAATTGGATGTTGGGCGTGGATTGAAGGTTGGTGAGTTCAGTGGGAGAGTATTGAGGGCTGTACGTTTTGGAAAGGAAGCAGAGGGTGGTAGGAGGGGCCTTTTCCTTAGCTGTGGCTTTGGCAACTGAGTCAGCAAAGGCATTTCCCCGAGCCACAGGAGTTTGGATGGATTGGTGTCCCCGGTAGTGAATGATGGCTACCTTGCTGGGGAGCTGGATTGCCTGAATGAGTTGAGAAATGAGCTTTCCATTGAGAACAGGGGTACCTTTAGTGGTAAGAAAACCCCGTTCCTTCCATATCATGCAATGTGAATGGGCAATGAGGAAGGCATATTTGGAGTCTGTGTAAATGTTTACAGTTTTCCCGGTTGCCCAGATTAACGCTCAAGTGAGAGCAACTAATTCAGCTTTCTGAGAGGTGGTTCCTGGGGGTAAGGGCTGTGTTTCAATAACGTTAGTGTCCGTGACAATGGCATAGGTAGCCTTTCGGGGTCCTGGGGTGTTGAGGGCTGAACTGCCATGGACGTAGAGGGTAACCGAGGCTGTTGGTATGGGCTGGTCAGCTAAATCTGGGCGCGGAGACTGGCTGAACTTAAGAATTTCCAAGCACAAGTGTTGTGCTGGAGGCTCCGAGGAGAGGGGGACAAGGGTGGCAGGGTTTAGAGGGGGACAGTGTGAGAGGGTGATAGTAGGGTTTTCAATGAACAGCAGGTGTAGAAGTTGAAGTCGGGAGGGTCCGAGATGGGACAAAGCTTGGTGAGTGAGTAGGTCGACGAGTCGGTGTGGGGAAAAAACCTGGAGAGGGTGGTGCAGGTTAAGTTTTAGAGCCTCGGTGGTGAGGGTAGCCGCAGCTACGAGAGCCCGTAAGCATGGCTGCCATCCCCGTACAGTGGGGTCTAGTTGTTTAGACAGGTAGGCTATTGGCAGGAGGGTAGGACCTATTGGTTGAGCAAGGACCCCCACCGCCGTAAGCTGTTTTTCCTCTGTGTATAGGTGAAAAGGTTTGTTCGGGTTGGGTAAGGCTAGACTGGTGGTTGTGTATAGGGCCGCAAGGAGGGCCCTGAAGGCCTGGTTAACAGTTCCTTGGGAAGACAAGGGTCCCATGGGGGCCTGTTTGGCCGTGTGGTAGAGCGGCTTGGCTAGGAGTGCGAAGTTAGGCACCCAGTGTCGGAAGAACCCTACCAGACCCAAGAAGGAGAGGATTTCGTTTGCTGAGGTAGGAGGTTGGAGGGCCTTGAGGGCCTGCAATCTATCAGTAGTAATTGCTCGGTATTTGGGGGTAATTTGCAGCCCTAGATACGTGACAGAGGGGGTAGCTATCTGTGCCTTGGCAGGTGACACCCGGTACCCTTTGTTGCCTATAAAATTTAGTAGAGTTGTGGTAGCTGAGAGGCATTTGTGGCAGGATGGGGAGTAAATTAGAATGTTATCTACGTATTGAAGCAGACGGTACGGGGCAATGTTGCAATCTTGTAAGTCAGCAGCTAATGCCTGACCGAACAGGTGGGGGCTGCCTCGGAATCCCTGAGGGAGGACAGTCCATGTGAGCTGTTGGGATGTGTTAGAGACAGGGTCTTCCCAGGTGAAAGTGAATAGGAAATAGGACTCAGGGTGTAGGGGAATGGTGAAGAAAGCATCCTTTAGATCTAGCACTGAGAAGTGGGTAGTGGTAGGTGGGATGTGGGAGAGGATGGTGTACGCGTTCGGGACTACTGGGTGTACAGGTATGACGGCCGTGTTGATGAGGCGGAGGTCTTGGACTAGTCTATACTGGCCAGAAGGTTTTTGTACCGGCAAAATGGGAGTGTTGCAGGGAGAGTTAATGGGAATTAGCAGACCTTGGGCTTTGAGCTTTTCTATGATAGGACGAAGACCTAGGCGGTTAGCTTTGGAAATTGGGAACTGGGGGCGGGCAGGAAAAGAGGAAGGGTCTCTTAGACAAATGCGTACAGGCTGGTGGTGGGAGGCTACAGTTGGAGTACTGGTGTCCCAGACTTGGGGACGAACGTCAGGGAGAAGTTGGGTGGGTTGGCAGGGGGTTGGTGGGTCTACGACAAGGGAGAGGAGGAAGGCATTGGTGTGAGGAAAGACGATAGCCGCCTGTAATTTGGCTAAGATGTCTCGTCCCAGAAGGGGTACTGGACATGAGGGAATTACTAGAAAGGGGTGTGTAAATATAGAGGAGTTAAAAGAACACGTGAGTGGAGAGGTTTGGCGGGGAGTGGAGGGAGTTCTGTTAATCCCCATGACAGAGACCCGGGAAGGGAGAGTTTTTCCAGGATAAGTGGGAAGCACGGAGAAGGTAGCCCCGGTGTCAAGCAAGAAGGAGACACTTTTACCCGCTACCTTGAGCTTAACCCTGGGCTCGGCAAGGGTAACCGGGGTTGGAGAGCCAGGGCCCTGCTAGTTGTCCACTAGTCCCAACAGTTCTGGAAACAGAGAGTTTTGGATGCCTGGTTCCTGGACAGCACGGACAGGTCCCAAGCCTCCAGTGACCGCCTCCTGCTGTCCAGTATGCCGGTCCGGAGAGACCGGGACCCTGGACGAGCTGGGACAGTCAGACTTCCAGTGCCCCACAAGTTGGCAGATGGGACAGGGCTTAGTAGGTGGACGAGGCTGGGGACAGGCTTTAGACCAGTGTCCTTCTTTTCCACATTTAAAACACGCACCCGGAGGAGTGCGGGAATCGCTTTTGGTTTCCTGCCGGCCTTAGGGCTGCTACTAGAGCCTGGGTTTGTAGAGTGACTTTCTGCTTCATTCGGGCTTGGCGGGCTGCCTCAGCTATGTCTTCTCTTGCATTAAAAACCTTAAAGGCCATCTTTACCAGGTCCTGTATGGGGGTTTCTGGACCGTCCTCCACTTTTCTTAGTTTCTTTCGGATATCAGGGGTTGACTGGGAGATAAAATGGGAGGCTAGGACAGTGGCCCCATTCCGGGAGGCAGGGTCTAACCGGGTATAACGGACTAGTGCTTCCTGCAAGCGGGTGAGGAAAAGGGCGGGGTTCTCATCAGGTAGCTGGGTGATTTCCCTTAGTTTATCATAGTTTACAACTTTGTTAGATACAGTATCCATTCCCCTGAGGAGGTATCTAATCATGCGGTCTCTCTTGGGTATATTAGACCCTCGACTAGCCTGATAGTCCCATTGGGGGTCTTCATTTGGGATTACTTCGGGGCCCAGGGGGACCTGGTTATCTATAGCATGATCTTTATCTGCCTGGTGTCTGGCTGCAGTGAGGATGCGCTCGTGCTCCTCTGCAGTGAGGGTGGAGGTACAAATAATGCGAATATCATACCAAGTGAGGCTGTATGCCTGAGTAAGATATTGGAATTCCTTGATATATGTGGAGGGGTCCGCTGAGAATGAACCGAGCCATCGCTCGATTTGCGACAGATCCTGGAGTGAAAAGGGAACATGGACCCTAACTAAGCCCTCAGTACCTGCTACTTCTTGGAGAGGGGCTAGGATAGTTGGTTGGTGAGAGCGGGTGTGGGCTGCCACCGGGGAGGGAAGGGGAAGTGCGGCCTCCGAGGGAGGAGGCCCAGAGGGAGTGGAGGAAGGAAAAGGTAAGGCCTCCGAGGTAGGAGGCGCAGAGGGAGTGGGGGAAGGGCAAGTGGCTGACGGCGACTGGTTGCCAAGGTTGGCGGGAGGGGACAGATGTTCAGGCAGATCCTCTGATGAAGAGTAAGGAAGAGGAGAGGTAGTGGGGGGAGATTTACGAGGGGTGCGGGCCAAGAGGATTTGATGTGTGGAGCAGGAAGAGCAAAGATCAGGACGGGAACGGAGATCCCAGAAAGCCTGAACGTAAGGTATTTCACGGTCCTTGCCAGTCTGGCGACAGAAATTATCCAGATCCTGAAGTATGTTGAAATCAAAAGTGCCAGTCGGAGGCCAATATGACTGGTTATCAAGTTTGTACTGGGGCCAAGCGACCTGGGATAAGAATACGAGTTTTTTCTTGCACAGAGTTTGCGAGTATCCCAGTCTGGAAAAGTTTAGAAGCAAGCACCCTAAAGGGGTGTTTGGGTTGGCTTTAGACTCTGCGTTCCCCATGGCTGGACGACAAACCCCCCAGTGCCGGATAGGGAAGAGGCAAGGAGAGGGCGTCCCCACTCGTTGCAATCCCTACGGATTATGGTTAGTGAAGTTAACAGTCAGAGAGGCATCCCCATCTGTCTGCCAGCTTCGCAGGATGACTCCAGGAGCCAGGCAGAGGACTACCTCGGCTCGGCCGAGTCTAGGGCGAGGCGTCCAGAAGGTTTAGCACCGGAAGGTTAATCGCCGTGGCCACTAGAGAGGGAAAAGAAAATGAGGTAGGTAAAATCTTACCTTATTCAGAGTCTTGCAGTGGCGAGGCAGGCAGACCGGGGTTGAGAGGGAGGCCGCGGCCTGGGCCCCGAGGGCCAGGTACCAGACCGGCCACCCTTCTCCTGGGTTTCCGGCACCAGTTGTCTGACCTGCCCGGACCCTCGTTGCTTGGACCCCAAGGCCTGATCGAATTAAACGAGACGAAGTAAGAGTTCAGGCTTTATTAGGGAGTCTCTGGGCAGACTAGACTCGTGCACGGGGGAGAGTCAGCAGTCTCGCGCCGGTTTTCTTTGTCTTGCGGTTTTTATAGGGGTAGTGGAGCTGAGGGAGTGGGAGAGCCGAGGTGGTGGGTAGCGGTTGGTCAGTTTAAACTGCCGGGTAGGAAGTTGGGGGAGAGCTGATGGGGCGGGTGGTGATTGGTTGGGTGGTCGCTGGGCGGGAGGTAGCTGGAGTTGCGCCAGTCGGGGTCTGGGAGAGCTGAGCCGGGAAGCCGGGCAGGGCAAGATGGGAACTTCCCATGTAAGCGGAGAGGGACTTTCCACATGGGGAAGTAAAATACCTTCCATGTGGCTGGGCCCTGGGTGGGGCGGGGGGGGGGTAAGAGAGGCCCAAGGGTCCTCCACCAGACAGAATGGAGTGCTGATTCATGCTACAACAGGAATGAACCTTCAAAACATTATGCTACATGAAAGAGGCCAGACACTAGAGGTCACATAGCCAATGATTTCATTCATGCAAAATGTCCAAAATAGGCAAATCCAAAGAGATGGAAAATAGATTAGTGGTTGCCAGGGAACAGGCAGGGGGAAAAGAAGTGACTGCTTATGGTTTCCATGGTCTCCTCTTGAAGTGATGGAAATGATTTGAAATTAGACAGTGGTCATGGTTGCACATCATTGTGACTATAATAAAAGACCATGAGATTGTACACTTTAAAATGATGTATTTTATGTGAATTTTTATCTCAATAAAAAAATTGCAAAAAAAGGAATTAAGAAAGTAAAAACAGGCAGGACATGATGACTCACACCTGTAATATCAGCACTTTGGGAGGCCAAGGCAGGAGGACCACTTGAGGCCAAGAGTTCAAGATCAGCCTGGCCAACATGATGAAACCCCATCTCTACCAAAAATACAAAAATTAGCTGACCATGGTGACAGCACCTGTAACCCCAGCTACTCAGGAGGCTGAGGCATAAGAATCCCTTGAATCCAGGAGGCAGAAGCTGCAGTGAGCTAAGATTACACTACTGCACTCCAGCCTGAGTGACAGATTGAGACTCTGTCTCAAAAAAAAAAAAGGGATGGCTGATTAGGAACAGCTAAGGATTGGAGCTCCCAGTGAAAGCATGGAGGGTGAGTGGACACTGCATTTCCAGATGGATTTTTATTGCCCACAGACCAGGATATTCCTAGGCAGAGGAGCCCCATGGGTTACCGGTGTGGCTGGTTTGGCTGGTACAGCTGTTTTGCTGGCACCCCAGTGTGGTGGTTCTCCATACAAAATACACAGGTCTGGGTGCTGTTCTGGGTGGCATTTGGAGCTCCTTGGAGACAGAGTCACCCATACATCTGATTAAAAAGGGGACTGAAACATGGAGCCAGGCCAGGAGACTCCCAGGCAAAAAAGCGCCACAAATCTCAGCGTGGCTGTTTCAGCCAGTGCAGTGGGTCACCACATGGGAAATCACACAGATCACAGTGCCTTTTCAACAGGTGACTGGAACACCTGGGAGACAGAGTCCACCATTCAACTAAAAAACCAAAAGAAGGGGGCCTCTGAGGCAGGGAGCTAGGTGATCAGGCTCAGCTGGTCCCACTCCCACAAAAAAACAGCAATCAGAAACGCTCTGGATTGAGAGTTTCACAGCAAGCACAGCTGAACCTGAGACAGTCCAGCTATGTGGGGGAGGGGCGTCTGCCATTACCAAGGCAGTTCACCACTATGGAGGTAGTTTGCCATTGCTGAGGCAGCCTGCCATTGCCAAGGCAGCCCCCCATTACAGAGAGAGTCCAACATTATAGAGGTGGGCCACCATTGCTGAGGCAGTTCTAACTACACCCATATAAACATGACTGCAGGGAAGTTCACACAGCAGCTTAGCAGAGCCCAAAGCAGCTCAGCAAAGTCTCTGCAGGCAGACAGTGACTAGGCTGCCTCCTTCCTGGGCAGGGCAGCCCTGAAAAAAGCCAGCAGCACAACAGAAACTCAAAAATAAAGCCCTAACTCCCCAGGGCAGAACACCTGGAGAAAAAAAGGGAGGGGTTTATGAGTTCATCTGCAGCAGACTTAAATGTACCTGCCCAGTAGCTCTGAATGAACAACAGAGTTCACAGCTCAGCACTGGAGCTCCTATAAAGGGCAGACTGTCTCCTCAAGCAGCTCCCTGACCCCCATATATCCAGAGTCACCTCATAAAGGAGAGCTCAGACTGAAATTTGGCAGGTATCCTTCTGGGACAAAGATAGCAGAAGAATAAACTGGCAGGAACCCTTACTGTTCTGCAGCTGCTGCATGTGATCCCCAGGCAAGCAGAGCATGGAATGGACCTCAGCAGTCCTACAGAATAAAATCTTTGAGAACAAGCAAGTACTCAGAGATTTCATCATCACCAGGCCTGCTTTACAAGAGGTCCTGAAAGAGGCACTAAACATAGAAAAGAACAACCAGTACCAGCCACTCCAAAAACATACCAAAAGGTAAACAGCATCAACACAATGAAGAAACTGCATCACCTAACGGGCAAAACAGCCAGCTAGCATCAAAATGGCAGGATCAAATTCACACATAACAATATTAACCCTAAATGTAAATGGGCTAAATGCCCCAATCAAAAGACACAGACTGGCAAATTGGATAAAAAGCCAAAACCCATCAGTGTGCTGTATCCAGGAAACCCATCTCACATGCAAGGATACACAAAGGCTCAAAATAAAGAGATGGAGGAAGATTTGCCAAGCAAATGGAGAGCAAAAAAATCAGGAGTTGCAATTCTCGTCTCTGATAAAATAGACTTCAAACCCAGAAAGATCAAAAAAGACAAAGAGGATATTACATAATGGTAAAAGGATCAATGCAACAATAAGAGCTAATGATCCTAAATATATATGCACCCCATACAGGAGCACCCAGATACATAGGCAAGTTCTTAATGACTTACAAAGAGACTTAGACTCCCACACAATAATACTGGGAGACTTTAACACCCCATTGTCAATATTAGACAAATCAACGAGAAAGAAAATTAACAAGGATATCAAGGACTTGAACTCAGACCTGGACCAAGCAAACCTAATAGACATATACAGAACTCTCCACCCCAAATCCACAGAATATACATTCTTCTCAGCACCACATCGCACCTACTCTAAAGTTGACCACATAATTGGAAGTAAATCACTCCTCAGCAAATGCAAAAGAATGGAAATCATAACAAACAGTCATCTCTCAGACCACAGTGCAATCAAGTTAGAACTCAGAATTCAGAAACTAACTCAGAACCACACAGCTTCATGGAAACTGAACAACTGGCTCTTGAATGTTGACTGGACAAACAATGAAATGAAGGCAGAAATAAAGATATTCTTCCAAACAAACAAGAATGAAAACACAACATACCAGAAACTCTGGGACACATTTAAAGCAGTCTCTAGAGGAAAATATATAGCAATAAGGGCCCACATGAGAAGCAAGGAGAGATCTAAAATCAACATGCTATTGTCAAAATTTAAAGAGCTAGAGGAGGAAGATAAAAAAAAAAAACTCAAAAGCCAGCAGAAGACAAGAAATAACTAAGATCAGAGCACATCTGAAGGAGATAGAGACACAAAAAAACCCTTCAAAAACATCAATAAATCCAGGAGCTGGTTTTTCGAAAAGATCAACAAAATAGACAGACCATTAGCCAGATTAATAAAAAAGAAAAGAGAAAAGAATCAAATAGATGCAATAAAAAGCAATAAGGGGATATCACAACAGATTCCACAGAAATACAAACCATCATCAGAGATTATTACAAACATCTCTATGCAAATAAACTGGTAAACCTGGAATTCAGGATAAATTCCTGAACACTTGCATCCTCCGAAGCCTAAACCAGGAAGAAGTCAAAACCCTGAATAGACCAATAACAAGGTCTGAAGTTGAGGCAGCAATTAAGATTCTAACACCCAAAAAAAGCCCAGGTCCAGATGGGTTCATAGCCGAATTCTACCAGACATACAAAGAGGAGCTGGTACCATTCCTTCTGAAACTATTCCAAACAATCCAAAAAGAGGGAATCCTTCCCAAATCACTTTATGAGACCAATATCAGCCTGATACCAAAATCTGGCAGAGACTCAGCAAGAAAAGAAAACTTCAGGCCAATATCCATGATGAACATAGATGCAAAAATCTTCAATAAAATACTGGCAAACCGATTGCAACAGCACATGGAAAAGCTTATCCACCACGATCAAGTAGGATTCATCCCAGGGATGCAAGGCTGGTTCAACATACCCAAGTCTATAAACATAATTCACCACATAAACAGAACCAAAAACAAAAACCACATGATTATCTCAATTGATGCAGAGAAGCCCTTAAACAAAATTCAACAGGCCTTTGTGCTAAAAACTCTCAATAAACTGGGTATTGATGGAAAGTATCTCAAATAATAAAAGCTATTTACAGTAATCCCACAGCCAATATCATACTGAATGGGCAAAACCTGGGATTCCCTCTGAAATCTGGCACTAGACAAGGATGCCCTCTCTCACCACTCCTATTCAACAGAGTATTGGAAGTTCTAGCCCGAGCATTCAGGCAAGAAAAAGAAATAAAGGGTATTCAAATAGGAAAGGAGAAAGTCAAATTGTCTCTATTTGCAGATGACATTATTGTATATGTAGAAGACCCCATTGTCTCAGCGCCAAATCTCCTGAAACTGATAAGCAACTTCAGCATAGTTTCAGGATACAAAATCAATGTGCAAAAATCACAAGCATTCCCATACACCAATAACAGACTTAAAGAGAACCACATCAAGAACGAACTGCCATTCACATTACCACAAAGAGAATAAAATACCTAGGAATACAACTAACAAGGAACGTAAAGGACCTCTTCAAGGAGAACTACAAGCCACTGCTCAATGAAATAAGAGAGGACACAAACAGATGGAGAAACATTCCATGTTCATGGTTAGGAAGAATCAATATCGTGAAAATGGCCATTCTGCCCAAAGTAATTTACAATTAAATGCTATCCCCATCAAGCTACCAATGACCTTCTTCACAGAACTGGAAAAAACCACCTTAAACTGCACATGCAATCAACAGACAGCCCGCATAGCCAAGTCAATTCTAAGCAAAAAAAAAACAAAGCAAGAGGCATCACACTACCAGACTTCAAACTATACTACAAGGACACAGTATTCAAAACAGTATGGTACTGGTACCAAAACAGAGATATAGAGCATTGGAACAGAACAGAGGCCTCAGAGGTAACACCACACATCTACAACCATCTGATCTTTGACAAAGCTGACAAAAACAAGCAATGGGGAAAGGAGTCCCTGTTTAATAAATGATGTTGGGAAAACTGGATAGCCATGTGCAGAAAGCAGAAACTGGACCCCTTCCTGTCACCTTACACTAAAATTCACTCCAGATGGATTAAAGACTTAAACATAAGACCTAACACCATAAAAACCCTAGAAGAAAATCTAGGCAAAACCATTCAGGACATAGGCGTAGGCAAGGACTTCATGACCCAAACACCAAAAGCATTGGCAACAAATGCCAAAACAGACAACTGGGACCTAATCAAACTCCACAGCTTCTGCACAGCAAAACAAGCAGTGATTAGAGTGAATCGGCAACCAACAGAATGGGAAAAAAGTTTTGCAATCTACTCATCTGACAAAGGGCTGATATCCAGAATCTACTAAGAACTAAAACAGATTTACAAGAAAAAAACAAGCCCATTCAAAAGAGGGCAAAGGATATTAACAGACACTTTACAAAAGAAGACATATATGAGGTCAATAATCATATGAAAAAATGCTCATCATCACTGGTCATTAGAGAAACGCAAATCAAAACTACATTGAGATACCATCTCACTTCAGTTAGAATGGCAATCATTAAAAAATCTGGAGACAACAGATGCTAGAGAAGATGTGGAGAAATAGGAACACTTTTACACTGTTGGTTGGAGTGTAAATTAGTTCAACCATTGTGGAAGACAGTCTGGTGATTCCTCAAGGATATAGAAATAGCAATTCCATTTGACCCAGCAATCCCATTACTGGGTATATATCCAAAGGATTATAAATTGTTCTACTATAAGGACACATGCACATGAATGTTCATTGCAGCACTGTTTACAATAGCAAAGACCTGGAACCAACTCAAATGCCCATCGATGATAGACTGGACAGGGAAAATGTGGCACATATACACCATGGAATATTATGCAGCCATAAAAAATGATAAGTTCATGTCCTTTGTAGGAAACCATCATTCTCAGCAAACTGACACAAGAACAGAAAATGAAATACTGCATGTTCTCACTCATAGGCGGGTGTTGAACAATGAGAACACATGGACACAGGGAGGGGAGCATCACACACTGGGATCTTTTGGGGGAAATAGGGGAGGGACAGTGGGGGTTGGGGAGTTGGGGAGAGATAGCATGGTGAGAAATGCCAGATATAGGTGATGGGGAGGAAGGCAGCAAATCACACTGCCACGTGTGTACCTATGCAACAATCTTGCATGTTCTTCACATGTATCCCCAAACCTAAAATGCAATTTTAAAAAAAAAGCAAAAACACAAAAAAGCAGAGAAGTTTCTCCAACTGCAATCAGAAAAAAAGGCAGAAGGAGAAACAAGAGAGATTCACAGCATGAGAAAGATTTAATACACCATTGGTTTGAAGAAGGAAAGGGCAAGATGACAAGGAACACAGGTGGCCTTAAGGAGCTGCAGAAGCCCTGTGTGACAACCAGCAAGGAAACAGGGACCTCAGTCCTGCAGCCACAAGGAACCAAATTATACCAACAACCTGAATGAGCTTTGGCAGAGATTCACCCGCAGAGCCTCTAATGGAATGCTCGCCTGCTGACAGCTTGATTTCAGCTTTGTGAGACTCTAGGCAGAGGACCCAGACAAGCCCCACTGCACCCACCCTTTGAACTGCGGGATAATAATGAATATTGTTTTAAGCTACTAAATTTGTGGCAATCTGTTAGGGCAGCAGTAGAAAACTAACACATTGATAGAAAATAAGTTTCTAAGAAATCAATGTATTAGTTTTCTATTGCTGACAGATTGCCACAAATTTAGTATCTTACAGAAAAGCGGTTTGGTTGGACATAGCATCCCTGAATCATTTTATCTGGGTGCTAGTTGCAGCATGGGCATGGATAGGAATGCCCAGTGAAGGAGAAAAGGCAAGAAGAAGACAAGGAAGGAGGTGAGTATAGGGCCATGGGGACTGCTTCATTACATGGTCTGACAGAAAGCCACCAACAGGACAAGGAGCCATGAGGCTCAAGAAGAGGAATGTAGTGCTGTGTTACGGTCATTGCTTTGATCAATGCTGTCTTGGACATCAGAATACACTCTAGCTAATTTAAATAAAAGACATGTATTAAAAGTCACTAGCAATTCATAGAATTGTTAGGAAAAGCAAGGACACAGAGGCTAGGCTGAGCTTCCAGGAATAACTGTCAGAGGAGCTGCTGCCTCTGCCATCATCAGGGAGTCATTGATCTGGAAGCTATGTCCCTGCTATCAGCTGGAGAACCTTCCTGCCCCACTGCAATGCACACCAGCAAAAAGCGATGCCTCTAGCCCTGCCTTCCTGCCCAGCATCTCAGTTTCAAATAACAGTCTCAGAGAGGCGTCTGATGGGTGGAATTGAAACCTCAACTGGAAACAGTGGAGAGGGAATATGGAAAATGTCATTTTTAGCTTTCTCCCTGCTGCCAAGAAGGTATGCAAAGCAGAAATAGAATGAATGCTGAATGAGTCAGCCCACAGTATCTTCCTCAGAAGGAAAAGAAGGCCTGTGTTTCAAGGAGGGAGTGGTTAGGCTGGCAGTGTCAGACGATGCTGAAAGAGCCAATGAGCCTTTCTGGAATTTAGTGATGGCAGGACACCTCAACAAAGCTGAACCAGTGCATTCACGGAAGTGGAGTCCTTGAAGAATGAATGTAAAATAAGAATATGAGGACAACACGTATCATCAAGTGTTTTCAGAAACTTGGCTGTACAGAGATGAAAGAGACAGGGCAGAGCTGCAGGGGTGAGGGGTGTGAAGGGACAACACAGAGTCATTTTCCCTTCTTCTCCTTTGACTCGGGTTGGTTTGGTTTCTAGATATCTAAAAACCTATGAGAAAGTCGTTTGAGGCAGGAATTGGATAAAAAGATAAAATAGATCATTAGAAGGGGGAAAGGGCTAATCCATACAGTGAGGTTTCTGAGAAGGCAGCTGGGGTGGGGGCAGGGAGGCCTAGAGCACAGGTGGAGAGTGAGCCTGGTGTGGAGTTAGCTGATTCTCCCCAGAGCAAGACGAGGATGTGGAGGGTGGAAGCGGCCTCACAGACATGGTAGGAGAAAGACAGGCACTGCCATCTGGTAGCTTATATTTTCTCTGTGAAGTGGGATGCTCAGTCATTGGCTGAGAGGGAGGAGGAGGAGTGGGCAGCTGAGAGAGAGGAGAGGATCCGCTCGATGGCTCCTCTGGAGAGTGAGAGGGCGAGGGGGGCCACAGACACAGCAAGGGGTGAGCATCACACCCTGTGAGCATGGCAGGACCTGCGCGCTGGTGTGTGGCACTCCTGGAGCAGAAGCTATACACAACACACACACACACACACACACACAGAGAGACAAACACAGATGCAGACATACAGACATGCACACACACAGACACACAGAGACAGACACACACAGAGACACATATACAGACACACACACAGACATAGAAACACAGACACACATATACACAGAAACACAGACATAGACCCACACACACAGAAACACACAGACCCCCCTACACACGGGCACACAGACATACATATGTATGATACTTGGGTTTTTGCCAGATGGGTACAACACAAAGAAAACATGAGCTGGGGAGTTGGTTCTGTGAACGCCTAGCTGGTTTGAGAGGAAAACAGAAAGGTAAGGGTTGAGGGAGTGGGAGAAACAGAGGCTGTGGCACCACTTCAAACCAGGTGGCACCAAGAGCCTGTGTGGCAAGGGAGAGGGGAGGAGGGGAAGCAAATTTCGGGACAAGAGGCACTGAGAGTGCCTCTGATGACTTAGGGAGATGCAGTATTTTGAATGATTTCTGTTTTCCAGATCCTATAATAGACTCAATGATAACCCCAGGGAAATTCTAATAATGGCGATGACACATCCACAGGTGACAGATTTACCAAGAAACCTAAGCTGCAGGGCCTGTCACCTGCAGGCCCTGCGAGGGGCACTAGCAATTTTTGTAATTGTTATTTTGCATATATGCACAAGCTTCAGGACCCACAAAGCTTAGGTTCACCCATGGGCCCCTCCATGGGCCTTGGGAGAGGACGTGCAAGTAAGAAACACCAGTTAAAGGTTCCTCAGCATCACGGCATCTCCATCCCATCACAACATCTAACTACTGAAAGAAATGAGCATCTGTCTGAAGTTTCCACTCATATGCATATGTGTATGGCATAGACTTTTAGATACTCCTAACCAACAGAATATGACCAACGTGATGGGGTGTGACTCCCAGGATTATGCAGTTATACAAGATTTGGTCTCCTTGAAAGGTTTGAAGAAGCCAGCTACCATGAGGTCTACATCCACAAGGAAATACATTCTTTCCACACTTCGGTGAGTTTGGAAGCAGATCCCTACCCATGGGAGTCTCCAGATCAGGACCCTATTGCAGTTTTGCTGAGGACCCAACTAGGCTGTGCCCAGACACCTGCCCCACAGAAACAGAGAATAAATGTGGGTTATTTTAAGCCACTGAGTTTACAGTGATTTGTTATGCAGCATTGAAAAATGGATACAATAAGTAAACATAAGGATAATAGCACTTGCTTTGCTGGGTTGATATAGGGATTCCAGGGGCGATGTGAATGTGCTGCTGTGGTTTGAATGTCTATGACCCTCCAATATTCAGGTGTTGGAAGGTTTACCACCCTGGAGCAGAGAATGGCCCTCAGCAGATACTGAATCAGCTGGTGCCTTGACCTTGGACTTCCAGCCTCCAGAACTGTGAGATAGAAGTTTCTGTTCTTTATAAATGACCCAGCCTCAGGTGTTTTGTTATAGCTGCAGGCGCAGACTAAGATAGTGGCCAACACAATTCTAGGTGCCTGGCGAATGCTTCTCTTCTGCCCCTTCAGGGACAGAAGTTCTATAAGAAACAATAGTTAGAGTGAGAAGCAACTCATCCCAACTCAGGAATGGCAGAAGCAGATTTTGAATAATGAGTGGGATGTTGATTTGTGGAGAATGGCACAAAAGGAACTCCACACAGAAGAAATAGCAAAGCAAAGGGAAAGAGTCACAGAAGTGAATAGCATTGCCAGTAACCACAAGTAAGACAGTGCAGCCAGGGTAGGTTTTGCTGGTCAATGTCATGAGAAAACCAACAAGGTGGTTTGGGATGAGGTCATGGAAAGATTTCAACATGAAGCTAAGGAAATCTTAATATTTTAAATTAACCTGCACCTTTTATTTCCAACTTAAATCTGAAAGTAGATTTACTTATGTTTAAATACAATTTGCCAATTGCAGAGTTCATCGTCATAAAAGTTTAAGTTTGATGCTGTTTACTTGGGTAAAAATGGTATTTAAATAATAGTAAGAATTTTTTAAAAATCTTTCTTATATATTCATCTATCCATTGTGAATCTGTGTGTGGAAGTATACGTATGCAGTGTCTGTGTGTGTCTGTCTGTGGGGGGTATGTGGTGTGCATATGTTTGGTGTCCATGTCTGCATGTGTCATGTGATATACATGTGTGAGTGTGTGTGTATATGGCATAATGTGGTGTGTGTGTGTGTGTGTGGTGTGTGGGTGTGCAATGTCTGTGTGTGTGTTCTGTTCTGTGGGCATGTGTGCAATGTTTGTGTGGTGTGTGTGGTATGGTATGGAATATGTGTCTGGTATTTGTGTGTCTGTCTCTGTGAAGGGTGTGTATATGTGATGTGTGTGTGTGCTGTGTGTGGGTTTGGTGTCTGTGTCTGTGCATCCGTGTGTGATGTATTGTGTGTGTGTGTGTGTGTGTGTGTGTGTGTGTGTGTGTGTGGCAGCTATGGGAAGGTGTTCCTCAGATCTGCAACTGCAGGGAGTGTGACTGAGCCAATAGTCCAGCTGCTGCGCTCTGAGATGCATTGCTGCATTTGCGCCAAGACCCTGCTTCCCTGATGGCAGCCTTCCCTGGCAGCCTTATGGACAACTTTGGCTCAAGGATTGGGCGACAGCCTTGCTGAGCTCTGAGCACTGCAGAGCAGCCTGGGGCTTCCGTCTAAACTTCCTCCTTCCGTCCTCCTTCACTCATGGCCAGGCTTGCCTTGCAGCCTGATGGCTCTTCCTGTCTCCTCAGCTGCCTCCTCGCTGCCTCTTACAGGTCTTTCCCCTAATGAATTTCCAGCACAATCAATCCCATCGTGCATCTGCTTCTGGAAGGACCCAGAATAATGCAGTGGGGACAGAAATGGGTTGAGAAACAGGCAGGAAGCTGAGATGTGGAATGGGCCTACTCACTCTAGCAGGTGGAGAGGTTGCAATTCTGGCTGGGAGATGGGTCATTTCGAGTCCCTGGCCTAAGGCTCCAGACTTGACCAGTAGTGGCCTGTCACATGTTCTGGGAGGGGATAATGTGGCTTGTGCCATGATGTAGTCATTTTAAGAATACAAGTGGGAAAATGCCTACAGAAAAAAGGCAGAGTGGGCTGGATCTCACTAAGCTGTTTTGATGTACTCAGAGGAAAGAGAGACAAATGCCTGTTCATGCAGGGCCCTGTGACAGCTGACAAAGAGGCTTCCATCTCCCACAGAGGAGGAAGAGACACACAGCTGAGAGCAGGCTGAGGACCTGATTATTAGAGTCATGGAGCTCCAGAGAGTTTTAAGTACTCGGCCAAGGCAGGTCTGTTATGTAAAGGTCAGTGCCCTTGTGGGGAAAACCTAGGATCCTAAATATGGTATAGGGCTATGTAGGTCCTGGCTACCAGATCACCCCTGAAGATCTGAACTCTACTCCCCGCCTGGCCCCTTGGGCTTGTGGAGGTGGCCCATCTCTTCCTAGGATGGTCTAGCATTCCCGCTAAGCTGGCAGATGCTTGCAGAACCCCCACACCCACCAATGCAGCAAATGCCTCCTCTCCTGACTTCAGGGATGTGTATTTGCAAAGACATTCAGTGTTAGAAGAGAAGGTGAAGGAATGGAGTCTGATCGTGAGACCTGCTCCTGCGTTAGACAATGCTGGGAGCAATACTTCACTACCTTCTCCATTAAATTCTTGCTCTTGGAAAATAACACTGTGAACCAATTAAAGTAGCTTCTTATCAAAACTAACAGCTTGCTCATAAAGGCTCACTTCAAGACCCTCATCTCAGTGGGGCATAGTGACACCTGTAGTCTCAGTGCTTTGGGAGGCGGGGATGAGAGGACTACTTGAGGCCAGGAGTTCAAGACCAACCTGGGCAACATAGTGAGACTCCATTTCCACAAAAATAAAAACTAAAAAATTACCTGGATGTGGTGCCATGCCTGTAATCCTAGCCACTCAGGAGACAGAGACAGAAAGATAGCATGAGCCCAGGAGTTTGAGGCTGTAGTGAGCTCTGATGGCACCACTGTACTCTAGTCTAGGTGACAAAGTGAGACTCTATTTCAAAACAAAACAAAGACAAGACCCTCACCTCCTTGTGTTCACCTCTTTAAGCCTATTATATGTTAATTTTGCCCAATCTCATCTCACTTCTTGCCTTGCAAGACATGCCTTAAAATCACAGAATCTGGGCGGTAACAGCCTCTAACACCCTTTCCCAATGTCTCTGTTTACAGCTGATTCTCAGAGTCTAACAATGTAGTATTCTCCTGACTGCTGTAGGTCTAATACACTTAGATTTGCTTAATCAACAGATTTTTCTGGTGGCCCCTTTGGAAAAACAATAATTAACACAAAATAGACCTGGATAATAATAAATAGAATAAATTTAACATACTAGACATCTCTCACTATAGTTTATTATCTATATTAATTTATTATTATCCATGTACTGACCTGTTCTACCTACGATGTGTCCAGCCTGAGTCAGTTCCAATCCACCCACCTTCTCAACAGGGAAAACGTAAGACACATTTAAGAAATGAATGTCAGTGGATGAACCTGGATTCCATCATTCTCAGCAAACTGACACAAGAACAGAAAGTGAAATACCGCATGTTCTCACTCATAGGCGGGTGTTGAACAATGAGAACACATGGACAGAGGGAGGGGAGCACTACACACTGGGGGCTGTTGGGGGGAATAGGGGAGGGGACAGCGGGGGCTGGGGAGTTGGGGAGAGATAGCATGGGGAGAAATGCCAGATATAGGTGAAGGGGAGGAAGGCAGCAAATCACACTGCCATGTGTGTACCTATGCAGCGATCTTGCATGTTCTTCACATGTACCCCAGAACCTAAAATGCAATAAAAAAAAGAAATGAATGTCAATCTGAGAATGGAATCTAATCCTGAAATATATAAATGAATGTTTTTCACATTTCAGATTTAAAGAAACAGTTGTTGCCGCACCCACAGGAGGAAATAATGATTTTTTTTCCTCCTACAAGGGTTAATTGATTAACTCTGCCCTGTTTGTTTTACTTAAAATGTTACACGCTTTGCATTTATTCAGTTGATTAAGATTTATCTTGCTTAGTAAATGACTAACTTTTGGCTGGCCTTTTTAGGTTCTGAAATAGCTGTCAGGTCTCTATTTGTATGTATTAGAGATAGGAAGAACAGTATCCGGTACGCCTAGGCTGTTCGAGCACTTAGAGGAAAGATGAGATTTTGACAGGAATGTTCCTGTTGCTGGAGGCAGACTTTGGCCCCACTGACAAGAGGTTTCCTTGTTCAAATTGGTCATTTGGGAATTATTGTAATTACTCTGGCAAAGGAAGAAAACAAACCTATCAAAAGACTTTATTTGTTGCTGTTATTTATGACTTTAAAATGTATTTTTATGGGTTTTAAAATATGTTCATGCTATAATAGGTGTTAAAACGAACAGACATAATAACTTCTCCCACATACTGCTCCTGTCTCAAATACAAATTCTGCACAAACATTTGCAAATTATGCACAAATTCTACTCCCTGCTCTATGGATACTCTCTGAAAATTGAGTACAAACCAAGGATTCACAAATCTGGATTTGTTTCTCTTAGTTTCCTTCATAGTTTCTAGTCTCAGGCCAGGCACAGGGGCTTACGCTGTAATCCTAGCACTTTGGGAGGCAGCAGGAGGATCACTTTAGGTAAGGAGTTCAAGACCAGCCTGGGCAACATGATGAAACCCTATCTCTACCAAAAATACAAAAAATTAGTGAGGTATGGTGGCATGCACCTGTAATCCCAGTTATTTGGGTGGCTGAGGTATGAGAATTGCTTGAACCCGGGAGGCAGAAGTTGAAGTGAACCAAGATCACGCCATTGCACTCCAGCTTGGGTGACAGAGCAAGACTCTGACTCAAAAAAGTAAAAATCCTGGCACGGGGGCTCACGCTTGTAATCCTAGCACTTTGGGGGGCCAAGGCAGGTGGATTACCCGAGGTTTGAAGTTTGAGACCAGCCTGATCAATATGGAGAAACCCCGTCTCTACTAAAAATACAAAATTACCTGGGTGTGATGGTGCATGCCTGTAATCCCTGCTACTCGGGAGGCTGAGGAAGGAGAACCACTTGAACCCGGGAGGCAGAGGTTACGGTGAGCCAAGATCGCACCATTGCACTCCAGCCTGGGCAACAAGAATGAAAGAGTAAGAGGAAAAAAAATATCTAGTCTTGTCATCATTTCTAACAGGAAACGTGTGGTGAGCATTTGCCATTCATTATCTGTGGACTCCATCCTGGAGAGTCTGTAACCTAGTTCTCTGGCCCTAGCCCTCATTGCATATGAGATGGTAATTGTAGTCCAAAAGAGTAAGTGACCAGTGCCAGCTGAGTAGGCAGTCGATAAGGGTCTTAGTGCTAATTGCTAACCCTTGAGCTTTGAATATTTGTCTCTTTCCTGCTGACCCAAGGCTTTCTGCCAAGTAGCTAATCTGTAAATACATGCTTAAATATACTCAAGGTGTTCCTATTCTTAAAACACTATTTTGATTGTGCTTTTGATTCCCTGTTCAGAACTTTCCATAGACTACTGAGAAGAGTCCAAAGCCCATAAGCTGAAATTTCCCGTTTTCTGAAGTCAGATCTTTATTTACCTTTCCAGCCTTCTCTTCTGCTATTTTCCTGTGCACTCCAGAAATTCCCATCAAAAGGAGCTACTCAGTACTCCCTGCAGTGCTGGCATTGCTCTGCGTGGCCTTTGCTTATCTCTCTCAATATTTCAGCACCATCCTCCCTCCCCTGAGAGGCTCGGTCAGGTGAAATGTTTAGGAAGAACCAGCCTGTGGTGAGGCAAGGACAGGGAAGCGGGTGGATCCTGTGCTTCAGTTGGGATGGGATAATTAACATAAAAATGCATCACTCTTGAAGATCTTTCTCCACTTGTCTCATGCTCCTGTTTTCTCTCTTTGCCTTTTTGTTTTTTGTATTTCATGCTCCTGTTTTCTTACTTTCAGTTAACATCTTTTTTTTTGAGATTAAGACAGAGTCTCGCTCTGTCACCCAGGCTGGAGTGCAGTGGCATAATCTCAGCTCACTGTAACCTCCACCTCCCAGGTTCAAGCAATTCTTGCGCCTCAACCTCCTGAGAAGCTGGGATTACAGGCACATACCACCACTCCCAGCTAATTTTTAAATCTTAAGTAGAGATGGGGTTTTGCCATGTTGGTCATGGTGGTCTTGAACTCCTGGCCTCAAATGATCCGCTGACCTTGGTCTCCCAAAGTACTGGGATTACAGGTGTGAGCCACCATGCCCAGCCTGGTTAACATCTTTTTATCATGATTTTCACAAGGGTCATGTAAGCATACCTTCAAAACTGATGGGGTATGCTTAGGGAGAGTGCCTGCTCCTCTCACCTCCCTCCCTGCAGCACCACCTGGTATGTTCAGTCTGCTGTCTCTGTTCACGAATGGCCCCGCCTTCTCAGTTCCAGCTCCTGCCCCCACTGGATTCCCATGGACTTCCTTCGTAACCAGTAGTACTGCAATGAGGTCCTTCACACATACAAATATTCTGTAAATATTTTGTTTTCTCCCTCATCTGTTCTTTGGGAGCTGGGATTCTGCTTTATAATCATCTATACCTCTTCATCTTCTAGCACAGGGCTTTGCCTATGGTACATGGCATTGAATCCATCAAATAAAAGCAATCAAAAAGCAAGATATATTTGCAATCTGAAAAAATACGTTTACAATGAGAAACATCACTTGTAGCTACCTGTAGTATATGGCAAACACTGTTGAAACAGAGCCACATATATGAATGGTCGAAATGCTTTCCTGTTTGTTACCTCTGTCTCTCTCCATTTTTACCTAAGTTTGGAGGAAGGCAAGTGTTCACTTTGATCCTGTTTCATCTGGGCAGCAAAGTGGCCTATAATTCATGCAGTAGGTTGTTTTGTCTGTATAGTGCCAAATAATCGGTATCACTTGATGTTGTTTTTAATTATTGAGTTGACTTCAGCAAGCAGTAGTTTGGGTATCTCAAAACACCTTGAATCTGACCAAAAAGTCACAGAAAAACAAAGGAATTTCATGTAGTGTATGAGGTTTGTGAGCAGGGAAGTTCCCAAGATTTCAAGGCAAATGCACAGAAGAATATGTGTAGAAATGTCACAGCACCAAATTCTTATCCTCATTCTGACCCTGAAGTTCTTGGGTCTTCACAAGAGGAGTCTCTTCTTTCATTGAGTCTCTTTGCACAGGCAGTTGCTAGCAGGTCACTTTCTTCTCACTTCTCTGCCCTTGAAAGGATAACTTAGGAGGCCACGTCATGATGATCTGGTACTCCTGAAGAACAGGTCAAGACAACGTCAAATTATTTATTTGCTTCCTGCACCTGTGTTTGTTGCCTTCCAAGGCACTGAAAACCCAAAGGATGCCTTCTGCTGCTTTGGGAAATTATTCTGTCTAGAATATTTGATCACACACCCAAACAGGTGCCAAATGGAAAATAACATGCCAGATGTCAACCCAGGCAGCAGAAAGTTGGCCAGGACACTACACCTCTGAATTTAAATGGTCTAAAACCTCACATTTATCCTGAATGGTCATCTTATGCCCACCGTTCACAGATCGTAGAATCCTAGAGTCCTGAGCAAACAGAAATCTTGCAGCTCACTGCATTCATCTTTCAGAAACCCAAACAGGTTAAATGGCTCCAACAGTTAATACCCAGTGGATATTAGAAGAAAGAAGAAACCTAGGGGAATCCAGGTGTTGTACCAGCAAACTGTGACCAAAAGAGTGACTCATAATAAACTTTATGTTATTTCAGAGCTTAAGATGGACATGATGACCCACTCCTAGCCAATTTCAGCAGATAGCATGGAGACTTGAAACAGCTAAATCTGTTGCAGAAAAATATATAGTATTTGTCAAACACAGAAAGGCAGTGTTAAATATGCATTAAGTCAGACTCCAAATTTCTCACCCCAAACTGTTGGTTGAGAACAGTCACATGTTTTGCAGTCATGCATCCCAAAACTGTCTGTTACAGCAACACCTTTAGATTCCTTGCAGGTCAGGTGTGGAGGCTCACGCCTGTAATTCCAGCACTTTGGGAGGCTGAGGCAGAAGGATTGCTTGAGCCCAGGACCAACCTGGGTAACATAGAAAGACTCCATCTTTACAAAAAAATTAAAAATTAGCCAAGCATGCTGGTGTTCACTTGCAGTCTCAGCCACTCAGGAGGGTGAAGTGGGAGGATCACTTGAGCCTGGAAGGTCAAGGCTGCAGTGAGCAGTGGTCATATTACTATACTCCAGACTGGGCAACAGAGCAAGACCCTGTCTCCAAACAAACAAACAAAAAATACTCCTTGACTATCTTTAAGAGATTAACTACATGAGCAGGCTTTCATGAGCAGTTGAATTTTTCCCTTGGATGCATTGTGAGCAAGCTCCTTGGAGTTTGGTGAGCCTTTTGCCTGTAAACCAAAGAAAATAACTCAATAATTTTTAGAGGTTTATTTTGTCAAAGGTGAAGATATGCCTGGGGGCAGGGGAAAGGTACACAAAACCACAGGAAACATCTGGGATCTGTGATTTTTTTCCCCAAGAGAGTCTAGGGACTTCAATATTCAAAGGGAAAAAGAGCAGGCAGTAGGGGAAAGAAGGAGCAAAAGAAAGGGAAAGAGTAGATAAAAGAGGCAAACAGTTGCATTCCTTTGAGTCTTTTGATCACCTAAGCCATCTTTTTCAAGTGAAAGGTGGGAGTAGAGGAAGAGTCAATTATGGATTTATCTTGTGCTCAGTGAATCTCCATTTTTACATAAGGTAAAATAAACACAGAAAGTAGAGGAAGCAATTAGATACGTATTCATCTCAGGTGAGCAGAGGGATGGCGACTTTTAGTTCTTGGTTTTTGTTCCCTCTCTGTAGATTTGTTGTTAATTTATTAATACACTGCAGGGTGAAATTCAACAGAACTGTTTTAGGGTAAAGATCTTGGGGTGCATGAGTGATTTCCTTGTGAGGAAATTGTGAAGGAGGAATGTAGCCTTTTATCTTGTAGCTATCTATTTAGAAACAAAATAGAAGGTAGGTTTGCCTGACTCAGTTCCCAGCTTGACTCTTCCCTTTGGCTTAGAGAGTTTGGGGGTCCCAAGATTTTACTTTTGTTTCACATGCCATAGGAAATGTAACAACTATAGAAATGAGATTTCTGAGCTGGGTCTCTCAAGACCCATTTGAGTACAAGGTTGGAGAACGCTGGTCCTCATAAGCCTGTCCTGAGGCTGCTCTGGACATCTGGAGGCCGTGACTGCAAGAGTGAGGGAGAAGTCAGTGAGCGGAAGCAACCTGTCACTAGGGAAAGAGCATGGAACCCTCAACTCTAGCTCTAACTCTTCCCAGCCCTATTATGAACTGGATGCTTGTGTCCCCTGGAAATTCATATGCTGAAATTCTAACCCCTTAGGAGGGGCATTTGGGGGTAAGTAGGTCATGAAGGTGGAGCCCTCATGAATGATATTAATGCCCTTGTAAGAAGAAGCCTGAGAGCTTGCTCACTCTCTCAGCTCTTCATCATGTGAAAATGAAATGAGAAGGCATCACCTGCAAATCCAGAAGTGGCCTGGATTGTCCAAGATCAAGAGGTTGGAATATCTGGGATCTGGTGAGGGCTGCTTCCTGGCCATCCCTGGATGTTATTTCCTTTGGTCCCCAGTCTACTAGTGGTACCCTAAGCCCTTCACTCAGGTACCCTAAGTAGCCTTGCCATCACTTGGTCCCCAGTAAAACCCCTATCCCCAAGTTTACTTAGGTGTTAGAAAGGAAAGATGTCTGATTAAATGGGTCCACACTCAGTATCTATTAGCTTCAGAGTCCTCTGGGAAATATGGACTATTTCCATATGCACGGAAAATGGGAAATATGCATGTTTTGAAAAAAGGTGCTTAATAACCAAGCTGAATCTCAAATCAGTTTAATTTCAGACAAGATAAAAAGTTCAAAAGGCAGTATTCAGAGTAGCCATCATGAGCTAGGCGTGATGGTTCACGCCTGTAATTTTAGCACTTTAGGAGGCCAGCATGGGAGGTCTCCTTGAGGCCAGGAGTTCAAAACCAGCCTAGTCAACAGTGAGAGCCCATCTGTATAAAAAATTTAAAAACAATTAGCCAGGCATGATAACACACATCTGTGATCCTAGCTACAGGAGGCTGAGTCAGGAAGATCACAAGCCCAGAAGTTCAAGGCTGCAGTGAGCTATCATGCCATGGCTGGAGCTTTGATCACTCCAGCCTGGGCGATAGAGCAAAACCCTATCTCTTAAAAAACAAAAAACCTACAAAAACAGAGGAACCATCATGACAGCAGATCCAGTCCTGCCTCAGAACCTAGAATATGTCATCAATCAGAATATTTTTGCTTTTCACATTGTTGTTGTCTTCACATCCTTCTCCAAACACTGCATTGCCCATCCTGCTTTTATTGCCAGGGCAGGGCACAGTAGTTGGGCTCTGGCAGGTATAGTAAGAGGGTGCTTGCTGAGCCCTTTGATGGTAGAGGTCATATATAATTTCTGGATTTGCATGTCAGAGACTGTCCAGTCTGTCTTCCTCTGGGCAATCATTCCTCTGGGCAATCATTCTCCATCTTTTAGGAGAGATATATTCCAAATGATGTAATTGTTTGAGTATGGGTGGTCAAAGCCTCAAGCCTCACCTTTTCCATCCTGAGATATTGTGTCTTCTGATTTTGAGGGCAATGAATGTACTTTATATGCATCTATATTCACCACAAGGTCTAGAATTGCATTTAGGACAGGCTCATGTAAATGAATGAAATACTAAATACAACAGATGTTACTAATAGTCCTCTCCACCAGGCACATGAAAGACTACATGTCAAACATCCCTGTGATTAAATGGGGTCGTTTGGGAAGTCCTAGCCAATAGACTGCAAAAAGTAATATGAATATGTGGCCCTGTTGGTCGAAACCATAGATGTGAGCTGTCTGTGCAGGCTTTTCTCTTGCCTAGGCCACTGGCCACATTACAGACAACAAAACCTCATTTAGCCTGGGTTCCTGAGTGACTATGTGGAGCAGACTTCTCCCCCATACCTGCTTACCTGTGCTGGAGAAATATCATGAAAAAAATTATCTCTTTGGTGAAGGATTCCAGGGCCTATTTGTTCTGCAGCATAACCTAGCCTATCCTGACTAATATAGCCAATGGCCACTTAAAGGTAAAGGCAAAGAGGCTGTATATTTTATAAAAATCACAAGGGCTCTTGAGGATATTTCATTGTCTAAACTTTGGTTATTGTGAGGCTTCACTCTGTGAGTCAGGAAGAATCTAAAGTTTAACAGCCCTTTGAAGAAGTTTACTCAATCTGCAGTTTCTCTGGTGTGAGCTGAAAGGCATGCTGCCATGCAGTGATCATGAGTCAGTTCCCTGACTGCACCACTGGCTAAAAAAAGGTCAGTTATCAAGGGGATATGCAAGACACTCTGACAAGAGCTTCATGGCATCACACTCACATCCTTGGAAACATATTCTCGATTGATTTGTGCATAATTGTTTCAAATGCATTTTATTTCATTTTTTGGTTTTGAAATAAGAAGTTGACATTTGCAGGAATGAGCACCATATGTGCCTTGTCATGTCTCCTCAGCAGGGCAAGGCCATCCTACTGCATGGTGCCATCTACTTTAGCAACCTCCTGGGAAACCTTGTTTTTCATCCGTGGACAATATTTGGTCAGAGACTGCAAGCAGAAGGGATAGAGATGGGAAGAGTCCATTTTTTGGCAGTGTCTCCAAATTCACCTCACCAAAAATTCCAATTATTTTTGGTTCCTGTGTTGGCAATGAATTTTGTTAGGATGGGTACCATATGTTCTAGTGTTTCTGAAACAATTCCAGTTTCTAATATTTTACTTGTCTCTGTAATGCAGCAAAATGCGCCAGAAATTTCAATATTTTAAAATACAAACTACATCTGTCCAACAACTTTTAACTCTAGGAAGCAACGCAAAAATTCATTTTGAGAGCCCATGCCTCAGTGTTTCATTGAAACTAATGCACTTCACCTTTACATACCAGAAACTATGTGATGATACAGTTTATTTCTGCCCCAGCAAATTCTGGCTAAAATGGCAGTGTATCAAGTTACCTTAGTCTAGAGTATCCTTTCAGAATGTGATCTCCCTGGGTCACTTAGTGCTGTAATCTGTACTTTAACAGAAAAGTATTGGCCCAGCTTACCATTAATTAGCATATTTTAAGAGTTTTATGAAATGAACATTTCTTTCTTTCTTTA